GTGTTAACGTTCTCTTCCCAAATGTGGCTGCAGAAGAAAGTGTGAAGCATACTGAAATAAGACAATATTTATGGCCGAAGAAATTCGGCCTCACATAACGGTAATTATGAACAAGATATTTTCCTTAATAAAATTACTGCAAAACAAAATCTGGAGGAACTAAGTGTTTCCCTATGTTTTCTTTATTTTATTCCATGTGCTCAAGCATGGTTGCGGGGAAAGAAAGGGAGAGAGAGTAAAAGGGAGCAGAGGGAGAAAGAGTTATAGCGAGGCCGCCTCGGCTGAGGGTTGGTTTTGCTTTAGAAACTGGAATGTGTCCAGGCTTGATTTTTATTTTCAATTCACATTTCAGATCCAGCTCCCCAAACTCTTTGATCTTTCTCCCTGTCTCCTTACCCGGAAGAGAACCCTTGGCCTTCTCAGCTGGGAGCTGGGAGCACACGTGGAAAAGACTGGCTCGGATCCATATTCTTGCCAAATTTAGTCACACAAAGAGGCCTGCAAGGGAAAAAAGAAAGGATGAAAGCCGCAGCCGCCAGGACTTCAAAGGCCGCGCCGCCGCGCCGGGCCCAGCGCAGGCGCCGCCCTCCGTGGATATAAGGCGCGGCTTGCGCGCGGGGCCACTCGCGCGCGTCCCAGGCCGGAGGGTGGGTACAGGGGGTTCCGAGGCAGAGGGAGGGGCCGGAGGGGCGGGCCACCGCGTCCGTGCCACCCGCGGCGGGTCCTCCGCCAAGTTAAGGCGCCGGAGAAAAGTTTTCAGAAAGGAGAGAAAAGTGTCACGTCCAGCCCACGAGGCGAGCCATCCTGCGGCCGGCCAATTTATTCCAGCTCCCACTCCACTCCATTCTGGGGATCTCTCTTCCAGGCGAAACGCCCGCTCCTCTGCGTGGGAGCCCGGTCCCCGCGGCGGGTAGCTGGGGGTTCCCGTAGCGAAGGAGAGCCGTGAGGGCGTGTGGCAAGGCTCCTTAGACCCAGACCGCTCCCCTGAACCCGCCCCGCGCCCCCTCATTCCTGTCCGCGATCTCACAGCTTGACTCCTCTCCCTCTGGGCGGCCTCGGGACGTGAGCCGTTGTCCCCGGTTGGCAGAGGGTCGACTGGCCAAGCCCACGTGTGGTGGTGGTGGGTCGGAGCCCATCCTCACGGACCGTGGGGAACACCCACCCCGGGACTCGCGTGCCTCGGGCCCCGCACCAGCACGACCGCGGGAGAGCCCACGGGAGGGCTGTGGGCTCCGTAGGCAGACCCCCGCCAGGCAGCGCCGGCTCCTCGGAAGCGCCGTGTCCGCAGGCGGCCGGATTAGGGAACAACGTTTTCACGGTCCCACGAGTTCTGTTACCCCAGCGGATGGGGGGGTTGAGTTTGTTTGTCTTAGGAGGAGGCAAGAAGAGGCGGAAGAACCCCTGGGACACAAACTGCCATTTCCCTCGCCCTGCCCCTTCTCCCTTAACCCGGAGTCCGTTAAACTGAAGATGCGCACAGCTTTCGTCTGCGATGAGGCTGAGGGTGCCGGAGTCCCGTCTCTGGAATCACATTCTTCGTTTATGTAGTCCTTCCCCATTGCTTCTCTCTCCGAGCATCCTCTTCCGTAGGCCCCCGCCATCCCCCTTCCTTTGGGATCCCACCAAAGTGGAGCTGGGAGCGAGTCCAGGCCACACAAAGGGGAAGACCCGGAGCCTGGGCGGGGGGTTAGGACCGAGGGGGCGGAGAGGGCTCTGAAGGGCACCGCACTTTTCTCTCCTCCCTGTAATTAAGGACTCACTTGAGTGTCTGTAGCTGACTTGACTTGGCAGCAAGATCGCCGGGGGGGAGGGGTCTCTGGTGTGGGTGGGGGTCTTCTCCCGGTTCCCTCGCCCACACCCGCGGGGGGCTGGGCCCGGTTTGCCCTAGGCTACCAGGCGCATCTCCGCTCCCCCTTCCTCTGTTCCGGCGCGGGGTGGGCGCCTCGCCCCCACGCGCAGCCCTGCCGACGGCGCCTGGCGCAGCGTAGAAGGAAGTGTTGATATAAAACAAGTCCCTGTTCGCTCCCCAAATTAACCCCAACCAACCAAAGCCACCAAGAGGGGAAAAAACCAACAGCAATCCAGCCAGCCCCTAGCAATTGTTTCACGGTCGGAATTAAATCACATCAAAACGCCCCCTGAAACCCACATCCTGAAGGAGTTGAACCTGCAACAGCCAACCTCCCGTCGTTCGCTCGAGTTCACACGAACAACCCGCCTCTACATCCGAAGCAAGGGGGCGGGCGGGCGGCTGGCGGCCGAGTTTCTCCCGCGCCGCACCCACCACATCCCGGACGGTGCACCCTAAGAGGCGGCTGCATATGTTAATAGCAGCCCCCACACGAATTAGAAGAGACCTCCCGGCGACAGAAATGCCTTTGCCTGGAACTTCACCGAACCTGTAGGGAGGAAAGAATGTCTTCCCATGGTTACTTCGTCCCTCTTGCGCCACCCCCATTCCCACCCCCGCCTCGAGAAACAGACTTCACGTGGAAATGTCAACCTCCTTCCCAGACAAAGCTTAAAAAAACTTGGGTGAATGTTTTCCAGTAAAGCCTTTAATTGCTGCCCATCAGAACATTTGCAACAATGCTAAGGACACTCAGCCAACACCTCGCACTACACCGGGAGGGAAAACAGACACGCAAACACAGCCTGGCGTTGGATGCTTTCGTTGGAAACAATTTTTCCAAAGGAGAGGGTTACCGCCAAATACTAAATAAAGGCAGCCACTTACCCTCTGCCCTTCTAGTAAACAGCTCCTACTAGTTATTGCTCCAAAATTTCCCATCTTCTCGAGCGCCTAATCTCCAGGACACCTGGAGTTGAGCTCCAAATGACTCAGGGAGTCCAGATAATTAACATGAAGGAGAAAATGGGATTCGAATGAGTTGCAACACTTAAACGCGGGATGTAGGAGTCATCATTTAATCTCTCTTTGGCTTCCAGAAAATACCCTCTGGCCATGTTGCGTGTGTCCCTCCCCCCTCCCCTCGAGTTTGATGAAAAGAAACTTCTACTCTGGCTGCTTTGGTGAAACTGCATTTTCCAGTTCTTTTCCTGTCGGTCAAATTGGCGCCTTGTGGAACGCCTTTGGACTTTGTTTTCCAATATTTTATTTAGAACAGAGGGTATACATGTCTGACATAGCTACATGTTCACATCTCTAGAACATTATACTCACACTGGTGCATAACTTCAAGGAAAGTTTCATATGGCCACCAATCAAAAAATAAAATTGGGTTTCTTTCCAACCTTTTTAGTATTGCCTTATAGACACATTACAGCAGAATATTCTTTTTGTTTTTCTTCTCTAAGGCATGGCATTGTTAGCTATTTAAAGTGAGTTTAATGGTTTACTCTTCCTGGCTTCTATCACCAGTCCCAATACCGGTACCCAGATAGAATATACCTGAATGACCATGTTCTACTGACCAACTGAAAATGATAGTTTAAATTGCTTCCTAAAAAATTCCCATCCCTAGGAAATAGTTATCAGGCGAAGTTTTAGGTGATCATTTAGAGCATCCTTAAGGTCTTTTCTTATACAATATCCAGCAGCAAGCAATCCCTCCCCCGCCCCCACCACTTAGGAAAAAAATAGAGATCTTTGCCTGACTGTTCCTATAGAATAGAGGTAAAGCCTGATTCTGTGGTGTTTTCCTTATTCTCAATTAAAGGGAGATAGAGACATTTATTCCTGCCCCTTGTTTACTGTTCTTAGGGTTTACAGATGGCTACTTCATTGGGTATAATAATTTTGCCTGGATTTTTAACTGAGGGGGTTTGAGAGCCAAGGAAGAAAATGTAATGTGTTTTCAACTTCGGCTTCGCTTATACTGTAACTTTCACAAAGCATCTCCTTAGAAGTCCTGTCCTTGTATAAAATGCATCAAACAGACGGTGGAGACTGGGGAATTTTTGAGGTTGGATTCGGATTTGCGTTTTCAAGAGTCCCTTTGAGCCGAAGTCGAAGGTGCCAGAGACTGCCCTGTCCTCTGTCTACTGGATTCGCTCTTCTGGGTCCTTTTACCTTCTCTTCCTCCTCCTCGGGTTGCTTTTTCATTCTCTATGAGGTTCCCACACATTTGTGGCGTGTATCTCGGAAAGTCCAGGAGAGACCTAGCGCAACTCTCTCCGTACATCTCATGGCGAGGATATAATGGAAGAGATCTTGTTTAAAAGCGATCATTAAGATCTTCCGTTTTTTCTTCCTCGTCCTGTTATTCTCAGTAAGCCTGGAGATGTTATTTTTGCTAGCATGTGCTCTCTTGTCCTTTGACATTCTATTTAGGAAAGCCACAACTCTCTTCCTTGTCCTTCCTGCTTCCGTTCTCATTAGCTGAGCAATGTCTTGTATTTTCTCCTTTTCCTTCTCTGTCTCCGATTCCCGCCTCATCCTCTGTCAGAGCATCTATCAATGTGGTGTCGATCACAGCTGCGGCGGCTTCGCTTTCATCTTCTTCCCCTTGCCTGAGTGAGGGAGGGGAGAGAGGGAGGAGGAAAGGAGGTGGGGGAAAAGACTGGCAGAGAGAGAGGGCGGAGGGGGGTACAAGAGAAGAGGTACTTAGATGAAGTTAAACCATTCGGGTAGTTTCTTGTCAGTTTCACGCGGGCAAAGCGTGCCTCTCCGTGGGCTACAAGGAGCGCCCGGTCCTTCCTTTCCTCGTCAAATTGCCCGATCCTCCCCTCCAGGAGCGCGCCCGTGCGCGCGCGCGCGCGGCACACACACACACACACACACACACACACACACTCACACACTCACTCACTCACTCACTCACTCACTCACTCACTCACTCACTCACTCACACCCCAGAACTAGGACTCGTCCTACAGGCTCTGGGAAAGGGAAAAAAAGTCCTCAATCACCACCTCCAACTCGCGGTCCCCCTCCTCCCCTACCCCCCGCCCCCACCCCAGCGGGCAGCCAAGGAGAGCTGGAGGCGGGGGAGGGGAGGGGGAGGAGAAGCGACGCAAGTGGGTAGCTTTTCAGCGCCGGCTAGGCGCGGGAGGAGGAGAAGCGGTGGGGAGGCGCAGCCGCTCACCTGCGGGGCAGGGCGCGGAGGAGGGATCCGGGCTGCGCGCTCTCGGGCCGAGGAGCCGTCGGGACGCGCCCGGAGCCCCGGACGCAGCCAAGCTCCGGGCGTCCCCCACCCCTCGGCCGGGCGAACCCGAGGGGTGCAGCTCTTTGCTTTGACAGAGCAGCCCGGCGGAGGCTTGGAGAGCGTCGAGAGAGCGAGCGAGCCAGGCAGAAATTCGAGCCGGGAACAAAGAGGGGTCGGGCTGTGTGTGTGTGTGTGTGTGTGTGTGTGTGTGTGTGTGTGCGCGCGCGCGCGCGCTTGTGTGTCGGCTCCAGCTCCTGGCAGAAGCATTTGGGTCCGAGGCCCCTGCTGTGACTCCCCGAGATCCCGCGGTGCCCTCCACTGCCGACTCCTAGCGCTCGCCGGCAAAAACTTTATTCTTGGCAAACTTCTGTTTCTCTTCCCCTCCTCCTCCGCCCCCACCTCCTCCGCCCCCACCTTCTCCTCCTCCTCCTCTAGCAGATTAAACGCGTCTGGAGAAGGAAAACCGAAGCGAAAGGGAAGGACATAAGAAGCTCTATAACGGACATATTCCAACAGGGGTGGCTATTTTTTCCCCTCCAGGAAGTGGACATTTTGTTATCTTTTGATTCTCCTGCCCCTTCTCTGCTGGGGCAGAAGGAGCCTTTTTGCCCAGCTCTCCTCTTTTCTCGGAAAACTTCCAACTCGGCATCCGGGGGAACTAGGGTGGAGAGGTTTACGTAGAGAAGCGCCGACGGACCCTCCTCAGCACTTTGGAGAGTCGTGCCTCCCCCAAAACAAGCGTCCTCCGCGCGCACACCCCGGAGGAGTTGGGGGCGTGGGTTGGCCACCGGAGCAGCCAAGCCTAGAGCACCCCACATTGCGCTGCACAGACGCCTGCAGAGGCGCCGGCGGCGGCGGCGGCCCTCGCAACCCGGTGCCCATCAGCCTCGAAGGCGGGCGCCGGCGGAGGTCTCCGCGGAGCGGGAAGGCGCGGGCGGCCGCCGGGGCGCGGGCACCGCCGCAGCTGGTCGGGCTGCCGGCCGCCGGCCCTGAGCTCGCTGGCCCCACTTCCGCCCACTCTCCTCCCTCACGCATCCTTCCAATTCTCCTTTCCTCACCCTCCCACTTTCGTTGACCCCCTCTCTTCCCTGCTGTCGCCTTGGGTGCTCCCCCAGCAGAGCGGAGATTACAGAGTGGTCGGGATGCCCCAACTCTCCGGGGCAGGCGGCGGCGGCGGGGGGGACCCGGAACTCTGCGCCACAGATGAGATGATCCCCTTCAAGGACGAGGGCGATCCCCAGAAGGAGAAGATTTTCGCTGAGATCAGTCACCCCGAAGAGGAAGGCGACTTGGCCGACATCAAGTCCTCCCTGGTTAACGAGTCCGAAATCATCCCGGCTAGCAACGGACACGAGGTGAGCGGGCCGTTGCCCGAGCACCAAGAGGCGTGGCGGTCCCGGGGAAGAGTGGAGAGCGAGGGACGGAGGGAAGGCGCCGCGCGGCCCCGGCGACGGTCCCTCGGAGGTCCCTGGTTTGCTGGGGGTGGATGAGCCCCTGGCCCGCGTTCTTCCTTTGTGTGTGTGTGTGTGTGTGTGTGTGTGTGTGTGTGTGTGCGCGCGCGCGCGCGCGCGCGTGTCGGGTGGGAGGTGGAGGGGTGTGCAGGGAAACCTATTCCGAGTGGATCGGTTTGGGGTTCGGTGGCTAAACCGTTGGTTTGCGGGCAGCAGAAGCTGGCCTTGACACCACGTTTGGCCTTCGTGCTTTTCAGTGGCGTTGAGGGTGCAGTGCATTAAAGCAAGGATGTCTAAACTGAGAAGTGCTTCCGTAGGACGGAAAACAAAGTGCAGCCGCTATCTCTCGGTAGATGTCTGCAAAAGTGCGTTAAACCACCAAAGGCTTAGGTAGAGACGAGCAGAGCCACAGGCGGAGAGGAAGGGGAGGCGGGCGTGGGCCGGGGACAGGCGGGGCCGGTCCAACTGCCGCTGAGCGGGGCTCGCGCGGAGCCGGCCGGCCAAGGCGCCTTGCTCCAGGGTGGGTGGGGGGCGGTGCGGGGCTCCGTGCCTTCGGCCGCCGGAGTCCTAGCGCCAGGCCTGCTGCCGAGAGCCGTGGGCGCGCCAAGCCGACCCAACCCAGGGGGCCCTCGCAAGTATCGCCCGCAACATTTTTTCTCCTACCCCCATCACTTTTTTTTTTTAATAGCTTATATTTGAGGTTAGTTTGGGCCCGGATCAGGACTCAAATCTATGCAGAAGACAGGCGAGTCTGAGTGGAGATGCGGCGGAAGCCGCCTAGGGCACCCACTCAGGGGAGGGTGGAAAGAGCTTTATCAGATCTCCTGGCCCGCGGCAGGCGATAGCGCCGGTAACCCGAGTAGAGTAAATAGAGACACGTGGGTGCCGGCGAGAGAAAGCCGCGAGAGGGACCGCGCGGAAAGGCTATTTCAGGCCGCGCGAGAGCTTCAGAAGGGGGTGGGGTGGGCGGATGGACCCTGATACCCGACACTCCACTGGCCACTCTGGTTCAACAGCTGGGAAACGCTTTGGAGGAAATCCGGTAGAAAAGTTCTGACACTTAAATGATTTCACTAACGCTTTTTCCCTCCAAAGAAACTTCCAGGGTATACCCTTTGTCCTTAAATGGCATCCTTCTACCCCCTAAAAGAAACCTTGTGGTTTTGGGGGCGGGGGCATTTGGGGTTTTAAACAACGCGTTTAAGAACACCTCAGAGTTACCTTCTTTATCCCAATGGCAGGGGTGAGTACGCATTTTGGAAGGCTTGGGGGCCTGGGTTCTAAGGAAAACATATAAAGGTGTTCTTTATCTTCTGAATCTTGCATCCCAACATGCCAATTTGAGGGGGATGTGTGTGTATGGGGTGGGGGGACTAGGGTGCACCCGACCCCACTTAAAAGGTTTGTGACTATATGTGTATTGGGTGGAGGAGGGCATTGGGGGACACGTGTCCAAAGAATCAAAAACATCCAAACCTCTCGGAGGCCAAACTCTCCTATTTGTGGAGAAGCCTTTCTTTCTACCCATTTTGCTGTCCTTCCTTATTCCAAATTAATTTGTCACCATTTCACAATTTTCTGCGCGTTTCTGCTCTGGGAAGAAGGGCACTGCATTTGAATCCCAGAATCCAGATATTAGGGTTCTGTTAAACCTTGCCATGGTGGTAAGTGGGCATGGGGCACCCCGAGGAAGCTAGTGAAGGGGTAACACCACTGATTTGCACGTGGTTGAATCTGGGTGGATGGTGGTTACTAGAACTGATATTAGCTGGGCCACCTTTTAGATGTCTAAACCCGACTCAAATTTTCCTTTCTTTAACCACAGAGTAGTTCACTTTTCTCTTGTAAGCTTGCACCCAGCCAGCCATGGTAGGTTGTAAGGAGTAGAGCTCCTGCTGGGACTGGCTTGGGACATTGGCTTTAAGACCCCCATCTGTGAGTGGTTGGCATGTTTTTATTTACAATGCCATTTTCCGTTGAACAATGAAATTTCAGCCCGCTTTTAATCAGCTCTGATTGAAGTGAACGGAGGTTGAAGACGCTATCAAAACAATCAACCCCATTAACTCAACCGCCTATCATATTAGGCATCCAAGTAGCCTTGAAGTGTTATAGCAAACAGCAGTCAGAACGGCATGTGGATGTTTCCAAATGTACTATATTGTTATTGTTTTCCTCTTATTATTTATACTTTTTCTAGTCCTGAGTAGATAATAATGACTCAGAAATACCCGGGGTGCCAAAAAAATGTATACACATGACTTGTGTTCATCTTTTGTTAACGGTATATATTGAATATTACAGTTTTAATACAGTTTTTTCCTTTTTTAAAGTGTATATACATTTTTGAAACCCTCTGTACATGTAGAAAAGAAAAAAAATTCCCAGTGCTCTACCCTCGCCTACACCTATTAAGATTAATAAAACAGGTAGATTGAGTTGCACCTAACGCTCGTCCTTTGAGTTACCAGTGGATACACACTGCTATCAGTATTTTCACAAACTCTTAAGGTGATTTTCTTTCTTTTGGGGATGGGGATTCATGATGTTAGGTGGCCAGACAAGCACAAGCCTCTCAGGAGTCCTACCACGACAAGGGCAGAGAACATGCTGATGACGGTAAGACTCGTTCTGCTTCTTCCAACTTTGTCATTTAACATGTGCAATTTGTGAGTATAAGTGTTTTGCTCTTTTGAGTCCAAGAAACCGGGATCAGATGTGATAAGACTGTGCCCACCATTTTAACGTGGTGGAAAAGAAAACCCGGGAAACTTTATGCTTATCTCTAATATATATTGATGTAATTTAAAAACTGTCTTTGAATGAGTTAGTAGCCTTTGGATTTCTGTTGGCATCCAGGTTTTTTGTGGAAGAGGAAATGTCTGTAAATGAGTTTTTCCTCTTTTCCTAAAGTTATAATTGGCTTATGTCTCTAGCATTTTTTTCTTGCATTGTTATAGAGAGCAACAGTCTACACTAATTTATTTTCCAACATGAATAGTTTCAAATGGCTGTTCGTTTGTAAAATTGCTGTTTCTGGCTACAGTGAGAAGGCAGGCAGTGAGTGCACATACTACATGTGGCTCAGCAAAGCAGAATCTAACTTGTAAAAATATAAAATTTTATTCATAAAATTTGGAATTGTGCATATGAAACATGATAGACTTTCTCCTCATTTCTGATCTTGCTCAAAACTTTTAAAATTGTATATATTTTTTAGATTTAAGGAGAGCTCCCTGTGACTTTAAAAGAACCAAGGAATCTGTAGGGTTTCCTTGTCAGACAGCCTGCATTTCTGTTCTCCTTTAATTATTTACAATTGGCCTGACCAGAATGAAGTGTTTGTACATACAATATGTCAGCCAGGAGAAGGGAAGAGAACTGTAATATCAGGCTTCCTTTTGAGCTACAAAGTAGTTACACAGATTAAAGGGAAGAAATGTATATACTGAACACACGCAAATTACTTTGGGAAAATGATGTAAGTGTAGCACATAAAATTGAGTTTCCTGGAGTTAATCCTTCATAAATTTGGGTAGTTGCCCATACACTAGCTATAACACTCTCCCTCAGTAAAATCTAGAAGTTTTCTAGAACTCTGGAAGCTCGGGTAGAATTTTTGAGTTTGCCTTTAAGATGGAGCATAACTTCAAGTGTATAAATATATATATATGTGTGTGAATAGCTAGATGACCTAATATATTTATATTACAGCTTTCGGTTTGTGTGTGTTCTTTCATGTGTCTCTGTTTCTTAGTCCACTTTGTTAGTATTAGAACAAATTAAGTTAGATGGATAACACTTATTTTTGTAAAAACACCAGTCAGTAGTGGAAGTAAATTGAACCACATGTTTTTGAAACATCTGGTTCACTGCTAAGCCATTTAAGAGAATAAATACTGTCAATCTAAAATAGAGCATAATAATTCAGTTACAGTATTTTGTAAACAGCTCTTTTGTGTAAGGTCTGATTTGTCCTAGAACTAGTAGATTTTCAGATGAAAAATACAGTGATATAAAAGGGAAGCCGATGCATCATTGATTGTTCTTTGAATTCTCTTAGGAAAGCATCCAGATGGAGGCCTCTACAACAAGGGACCCTCCTATTCGAGTTATTCCGGGTACATAATGATGCCAAATATGAATAATGACCCATACATGTCAAATGGATCTCTTTCTCCGCCCATCCCGAGAACAGTGAGTAACATGCTCATGTTGCAAATCATTTTCAGAAGATTTCAGGAGAGCAAATTAATTTGTATTTTGCAAAACGTTTTGTTGTTGTTGTTTTTAAACACGTTGGAAATGCTTTTCATTATATATGACCAGTCTTTGCTAAATAAGGCCTGTTATGGGGAATGGCCATCTTAAAAGAGGCTAACTTTGATATCTTGCACTGGGAATTTTAGCTTTTGGCTTGTTGGTTAAGATTAGTAAATAACAGATCAGTTATCATGAACTCAAATGAAGTTAAATCAACACATTTATAATTGTATGAGTATTGTGCTTTCTGTGCTGATGAGAGGAAAAAATTGACTTAATCTTTCAGTTACCTAAGTACCGTATGGCTTTCACTGCCCATAAGCTGTCTAGAATCAGAACTTCTTTGGCTCATTTGGAGCTGAACCTTTGGAATGATACTTCAGCTTTTAAAACGGTGTCTTGTTTTAGTGTTAGTTAATGTTTCTTTAAAATCACTTGAGATGAGCTATTTTTACTTTATTATCAATTGTTGAGAAAGTATCACTTGAAGATAACCCTGGTGAAAATTGTTTTTATCTCATGGTTCAGGTAATTTTCAGTTACTTTTCAAAGTTCCAAAAATGCAGTGGCGTTAAAACTGTATGATGCGAATGTATAACCCTGTGAAGAATTTCAGATCTATTACTTGACGATATTTCTCTTGCTGGGAGGTAGAAACCTCACTTACGTAGTAAGAGGGCATCTAAACTGTAACTTGTGTAGTATGTGATTATGAGACATACTGGTGATGGGTATTCCCTGAGAACTGTCCTTCCCGGTAGAGATTTTTACTGCTCCATCAATATATTTACCTTCATTCCACCTCACTCTCCCTCTACCACCTAAATGCCAATGAAAAGCATGGATGTCTGGGCCTTGGGGATTAGAGTTTCAGTCTGCCTGACCCTCCGGAGAGTCAAATTCAGCATCGTAAAAAGGAACCAACCTATATGATCTTTGCCTTATCAGCCCTGTCCTTCTACCAAGTGAAAAAAATCAGTCACAGACATCTGGGGCAAGTACTGCTGTTAATACCTCAGTGAACAGAATCTGGGGTAGAGAAAATTTACCAAAATAACAGAGAGGAATGGCTCATACACATGAGAGTGTTTGTGTTTATCTTGAGTATCCTAACTACTCCATTGTTGAAATGATAGGTATATAAAATATAACTACCTTATGTGGGTGCTGTGATTTAGAATCTATTGTAATTATTTTTCCACAAATTTCAAAAAGATGTTTAACCTTTCAAGCAGGGAATAAGATTTTTCTAATTTTCATATAGTGGTTAAAGTGGTAACACTGGAGATCTTGTGATGATGGTTGTTATAGGAAACGGCGATTTCACATTTTATTTTAAGAGGCTTTTTAAATATTTAATGACAGAAATGTCTGTGTGGTATATATGAATCTCGTACCTAAAAAGTGAACGAACTAATAAAAGTAAATATAGTTTAACATTTGTAGGCCACCCCCAAATAAACGCTTCTGAGTTTTAAAAATTTGTAGCAAGCTTTATGTTTGTTGAACTAAATATGCTAACATATCAGGTATTTTATAGTTGGGCTTCTTGGTCTTGTTGGTTTTTTTCTGAAGAGGGAGGAGAATATGTTTTAGATAAGGAATAACTGAAGATTTCTGTTGCATGCCTTTTTAGAACAACAGATAGCCTTTCTCACAAGCCTAGATTATATTTCTGACTTGGTTTACAATAGAAAAGAGCCACTAAAACAATCTTATACTCTTTGGCTGTGCACAGAGTTCATGCTTAATAAGTATTTGTGTGGGTTCAACTACTTCTCCTTTCAAAACAATTTTTAAAGTCAATATAATAAAATCTATGGGTATTTATAAATGATCCCTAAGCATATTGAAAATTAAGCTTCTCTTCCTCTTTCAACCATCATTTTCTGCCTTAGGTCTCTCTACCTTTTTCTCCTGCTCCTTGGTGTATTAATCACTTTGAAATTTTCATAGAATGGAAGCTGTTTATTGGTGTATGCATTACAATTTTGAGGTCAGTAAGCTGAACAGTCAGACATTGTTTAGGAAAGATTTGTGGCCAGAATAAATGTTGGTAGGTGTATAGAGGAGGAGAGGGGTGTGGTCAGGAAACAGTTACCTTCCCCTGTTATCTGCAGCTTTGCTTTATTCTGTTACATTTTAGGAAATTTTTATTTTAGGCATGTTTTCTTGCAATATTCAGCAGCTCGCATAATTCCAGAAGCTTTTCCATTTTAGCCGCAAGGCTATGTCCAATTTTTTTTTTTTTAAGGTCGGACTGAAGTGAGTTGCAGTCTTTGGGTTTTAATACCTAACAGCTGTTTTTAATGTGTCTGAGACCCAAAACACTTTAACCAGAAGACAGCCTCTCTCCTTCACCCCTAACCACACACACTTCTGCCTTCTTGCTCTCTAACTCTGTCCTTCGCAGGACAAGTGTTTATGTAACTGACAACCACAGTGATAGGTTTTTATCTGAGGTGTCAGGAGCAGGGTGACCATTTGTGTTTAGGCTTAAAGTGGGAGCTGCCCTGAGGCATCCCTGATGCTGGAATTTGCATTACAAACAACTGCTTGTTTACTGCATCTGCTGCCTGCAGGTGTTAGGACTCTGAAAAACATCTGGGGGCCAGGAAGAGCCCCGAAGGCCCCTTCCCCACACAGAGTCTCCATTTGTAGTAACTGCAGGTCACCCAGAGAATACCAGCCCCTGGCAAGTTGCACACAAATGTTTCGGCTGGTAGCTCATCCTAAAAATTCTATATGCTTTTGTTCTTTTTTTTTAGACAAACACTGACATATGTGTACTCGCAGGGTTTTACCTGTGACCTATGTACGTTATTACCTACTCAGGAGAAGCACCTTCACCAATCCAGCTTTTTTCCTTTGGAGGGAAATTTTAACTGGCTAATTATATCCTTCCAAAACTGGACTCCTTAGAGGTGTGTCTGTACCAGAAATCTTGTGAATGGGTGTCTCACAAGAATTTCAAGTAAGAATTCTTAGCTCAGAGATAAAATAGGCATAACAAGAAAGCACCTAAAATGGATAGCACTTTTGGTGTCGGTGTGAGTTCTTAAACCTTGAGTTGTCTTCATAGAGAGAGGAAGACGCAGGAGCCTGTGAAGTACGTCAGAGCAAAGGCCCTGATGAGTGTATTAAAAGCATACATACCTCCAAGCCTTTCTTTCTCTGAGTGTTATTTATGAAAATCCCTGTAGGCCAGTGGTAAAGGTTCAAGTGTAAAGAAAAAAACCGTTCATAGCCCCGTGCTTGGGGCCCTGGCACTGCTGTGCCTGAACTCCCTGTGAGCAGTGAGCCTGACTGGCTTTCACACAGTGAAAGTTCCCACTGGCCTGTGCACGGGGGTTATTCATCTTAGGTGTCACACTCCCATTTGTCCCTCACACAGCCCAAATGTTTAACACCTCTGACGAGAAATGAGAAACATCTCATTTCTCTTCAGCTGCTCAGGGGAGGGAAAACCTGCGGGCTAAGTGCAGGAAGCTGCAGCAAACTTACAGCTGGGTTGTGTCAACCGCAGTAGTACCTGGCCCCCATAGTGCCGCTGACGACATGCGCTTGTTTCTGTGTGACCTTTTTGAGGATGGATTTCTAGGTGGGAAAGGAAGATGTTTGTGTTTGCATTTCATCTTTCTTTCCTTATTTTTTAGTAGGCATTGCTATTAAAATGTTTCAGGGTTTCTTTTTCGTTATGTTGAACAACTCTTTTGTGTGAGCTCTATTGTATGGTTTTTACCTGCAGGGAATCAACACTGGGCTTTCTGACTGACAGAATTATAGCTGTTATCACATTGTCTTCACCCCCACCCCCGTTTATATTTGCTTACGAACACCTAAAATTTGATTTTTGTCTTTGCTGACACCTGGAATTAAGGAACCAAGGTGGATATGTCTAATCAGTAAGCTTTCACTTAAATCACTGCATAGATTTGAAAATAATCACAGAAAAGATTAATTCAAGGGTAGAGGAGACTATGGCTTGTATTTTGAGCACAATTTCCAAGGCAGAGTGTCTTTTTACTGCAAGGAGCTACTTAATTTGACTTACTGATAAATTATTTTTAATTTTCTAATCTAAGCTGTATACATTTTGAAGCTAAGTGTATCAAACTTTCCTCTTTACCTCAAGTGCAGTAGAAGTTGAGTTTTAGAAAGTGTATTCTGTCTCAAATTTGAATGTGGATGTCAGGAGAACGTGTGGGAAAATTTCTCAGAGCTCCCAGTCTCTTCTGTTTGATTCATTCTTAATTGCACTGCTACAGAGTTGGGAAGGGCTCACAGAAAGAATAATTGGGCGCACTATTGCCATTCTCCCTTCAGGTGTCTTAGATATTTTAGGGCCAACAGTTTGCTTATTCTGGCGTCCCAGGGGGCCACACTGCACGGGGCCCCTCAGGCTGAAGTTGCATTTGTGTGACAGGTGCAACAAGAGGGTGATCCTTATTCAGATGTGTTTTGTTGAAATGACCCTAGAAATTTCTTGTTTATCCATAAAAACATGAGAACAACCCAGTTTCACTAAAACAAGGCCATTGAGCCAACCTGCAGAAAAGCTTCCTCTTTGAAGTACCCCGTCCCTACTCCCATTCAGGTCCTGACTTGCTCTCATCAACCCCATTATTTTGATCTAGTCTCTCTCTTGTGGTCAAAGACTCATGTGTGATTTAAGAGAACAGAGAGAGGATCTCACAAATGGGTCTATCTGGACTTCAACTTGTAGCCTCACAATTATACTTCTGTAATATTAACTGAGAACATTTGTATAGCTCTTGAGTCTTGTTGTTTTTTTGTTTTGTTTTTAAGTAATCCCATTAGTTCTTTAGGTAGAACCATTTTTGGTTTATGTGACTGACTTTTTTAAGCAATCAGATCGTTCCATTCCTCTCTGACTCCTTTTGTTCTGCATTTACGTATTACAGACATGATTA